AAGTAACATTTGTATTTCATGGCATTAAACGTGCTCATTCATATTTATCACAAGATTGCACTGTTTCCGTTGTCAAAGGAAACAGTCAATGCTTCAGATAATGGATTTTTTTAACTGTTATTGAATGTGTTTTTTCTGTTGAAAAACCGAACGTGTATTGTTTTAACAGAAAAAGTCTGATATCTTTACCGTGTTAAGGTATTCTGGAAAAAATGCCTAGATGGAAATCTATCTAGAATAAACAAAACCTATAATGGTTCACAGGAAAACGGGTACTATATTCTGTCAACGTTTTTCTAAAAGATTTTTCTAATTGAGAAGAAGAAAAACTGAAACAAGATCAAATCGTTCAATTATAATTTTTGACAGCAGTATGTATTACGAACACTGATTCATGACATAAATTCCAATATAGGCTATTTAATATGTTTTACAATCTATCGAAATACAGCTTGTGCAGTTTGATCGAATAAAGATCCAATCTCGACTGGCTTTGTTTCTTTCAATTCTTTAAAAATATGTGTTCGAACTATAAACTATGTCCTATTCATTCCTTTTTTTCCTGTTTATTAAAATTTTCTTTCATCAGATTTTCAATTTCTTGTCATTTCATCAGTTACACAATAACTATCATACACTACGAGTTAATCACGATTAGCTAAGCGTGATTAGAGTTAATCGTTATTAAGAGCGCAGTGTAGACTCCTGCGGGGCACCCCCGAATCCTATCCCGTTTGTCCCGTCCCGTGAAATAGACGGAATCGGAACAAAAAACATTTACGGGCTTGGGCTTACGGGATCGGGACAAGTTGCAGAAAAATGTTGTCCGGTAAGTTTTGTCTTTTGATTGTAATTGTGCTGCAACTTCAAATGTTTAATTCTTCTAATACTATCAAGTCAAAACCGTAATTTTATAATTTCTAAAAATTAACCGAGAGAGGTGAAATAATCTGGATTTAAACTTGAGACGATATTCCATATCTAAAACTAGGTTTACAGTTTTTTCCTTTCGATTCTGAAGTAGTAAGTGAGTGGATGTAAAACATTTTTTTATATAGTAACTTTTAATTTTAAAATCAAACAAAATTAGGCTTAAATTTTGTCATGATGATTTTTGGAAAAATAAGATTGAGATTTTAAGCGTCTGTTGGAACAGTTACGGTTTATCATCACAGAAAAATATTTTCAAAAAAATACGGGACAAACGGAACGGGACAAAAAAGCCCGTAAATTTTTTTCATGGGACAGACGAATTCGGGACGACATTACCTGTTCATGGGCTCGGGCTTACGGGACGGGACAAAAATTTTTATGTTCAAGCTTGGGCTTACGGGCTCGGGTCAACAGAAAAGTTTGTCCCGCAGGACTCTAGCGCAGTGTAATTGTACTGATATTTCCGTTGTTAAGTTAAGTTAACAGTTAATCAATAATTTTCATCATTGTATAGTTTATTTGTTTTGATCGTTCAAAAGATGTAATTAGCCAGTAACAAAATCATATTTGCTTCGTATAGAAGAAATTTGATTTGATTATCAGAAAAGAATAGATATTCTAAAAGAGCCAGACAGTTCGGTAAGATCTAGATTTGAATAAAAAAACCTCAAACACGCTTCCTTTCCTTCGATAGCACTTTGAACTTATTAAACCAAACACTTGAAGTATTTGGCTGAAAAACTTTATATATGTAAATGCGAATAATAACACTATTACAAAAATCTACAAAGAATATAATTACAATCAGGCATACAAGCAGTCGAATTTTATCACAGACGCAACAAAATTGAAAAAAAAAATCACAGAAGGACTATGTGTAGAGTATTTAATAATTTATTTTACATCAATGTTCTCCAACTTGAATACCCATGTCCAGTCACTGGGCAATGAATAAGCTTTTACATCGGTTATATCCAAAATAATACCGGGTGGTTGTTCCGATGAACGCCAATTAATTGGTGCTTCACGACCAAGCATAGATACTTTTGTATCGGATGTTGATATCGGTGCACCCAATAAAATTGTTGTGGAATTAGTGGGCCAAACTAATAAAGACGCATAGACTAATTTTCCATCTTTGGACGCGGTATACCTAGAAAAATGAGTATTTGTAGAAATTAATAACTGAGAAAATCAAGCTAAGACAAATAAAAGAATCAAGAATACTTCATTGGTGTTCTATAAAGTGTACAGATTTTTAAAACAATAATCTAAAAGTTTTTAAAATTTTAGTTGGAAAGTAAAAAATATGATGTAATGCATTTGAACGTACCAGACATCTTTATTCGACGTATCATTTTGATATTTCCAAGGTACACTGTTGTAGATTGCTTCACCATTAACGTTTAACCAAGAACCCATTTGACGTAATCTTTCTTCCATTATTGGGGCAATTTTCCCGTATGATGTTGGACCTGTATTAATTAACACGTTGCCTCCAGTTGAAACGGTTGTAACAACTTCTTTCAACAATTCTTCTATTGAGATGTAATCATTTACTGACGCTGAACGTCGATAACCCCATGAATTTTTATCTAATGTAAAACAATTCTCCCATTTATGAGTTACCAAATGTCCAGGATTATAGTGATCGGAACATGTGTAAAAACTACCATGCTTGCATGGAATGCCATTACCTTTAAAACAAAAGATAAGTTGAGAAAATGTAAACATGAAAGTCACTTTTCGAAGGTAACCTCTAATAACTCATTCGTTCTTAAGAGTCATTCTCTATAAAAATCACTCGGGCACAAGCGAAGGTGGAAAGTTGTTGGTCTCAGAAAAATCGACAGAACTATCAGAATATGTTAACTAAGTACCAGACACATGATATCCGCGTAAAAATAAATTTCAAAAATTTTTGTTGGAGCAGAACTGCGTTCTTGGCAAAACGGGCCCAAAAAAACACAAAAATTATTTAGGCCAGAGTTCCAGCTGGCAGCAAAGATTGGAGAAAACTGAAATAGCCATTGCGTAGTGCAGATTTTGCTCTATCAGACTATGCCGATAACTTTTTGTGATCTCTGAAAAATGAGAGAAATTATCAACAAAAGTTCGTTGGAAAATCTCCTAGGTCTCTAGAAAATCTTTAAGGACTGGATATCAACCAAAGATTCTTAAGCCTGCCATTCGATAGCCTACTCAGTTCTGAGTAAAATGAGTTGTCGCGCAGCTCTCCGCAACGATTGGTCGCTGAGATACAAGGATTTTCAAGGCGCTTAGTCAAGTCCTTATACCACAGCCGCAGAATATCGTAGAGAGCTTTGTTTTACTGGAAATTCTCAGCGTTACCTTCCGGTCTTATCAAAATCAACTCACCAAACAATCGACTATAAAAGTTTTTCAGAAATCTCTTAGAGAACCTCCTAGGATTTTGAAAAAACTGTCGTTTTCCCAAACAAAATATTAGGAAAAGGGGTTTTGTGTTTCAACTGTTACATGAGGAGGTCGGAGAGGTGTCTTCTAATAAGTCAACTCCTTTAGTGTCTATTTATTTTCTCATACCCCATCTATCGTTGACCACCACTGTGTCTTTGACTGGGCTAAATATATAGAACAAAATACGTCTTCACTTCATATCATATAATTAGTTCATGACAAATGTTACCTTTCGTTAAATAACCAAGCAAGAAAATCGGTACTATTCCTATAAAAAAAACAAGCAAAAAACATTCGATCTATTGTTATTTTTCTTTACTTTACAACAGAAAATATATTACCAGTAACTGTCTGGCGCTTCTAAAATATTCAAACATAACGTGAATTATTAAAGGAGATTAGACTTCGGTAAAAGATTGGAAAAAAACACTGATACTAGTAATATGTGAGCTATTTTCGGTCTAGAAATGAATGGTATGATAAAATAGCCTACCCCAATCACCGTCTGACCAGATCACGTCTGGTTTGTATGTTTCGACGATTTCATACAGTTCTGGAAGTGTTTTTTGCTAAAAAAATGAATAATAATTCATTCTTTTGCTTCCAGATTTTAGGACAAAAGTCAGCGTACATTAACAAATGATTGTGTGGAGAAGCCTTTTGCTTTATCCTCAAGATAGAGTGGATGGAACCATTCAAACCTATTGTCAATGATTTAAATGATCAGATAATAAAGTGCAACAAAACAATCACACACACTCCTTTACATTGAATGGTAGAGTCCAAATACAATTTTTGTTCGATTTCTTATTGCGCTTGCCAAATCACCTAACAAATCTCGATGTGGTCCAACATCCATTGCATTCCAATTCCATGAATATTTCGATGGCCACATTGTGTAACCTTCGTGATGCTAAAACAAAATGAGGAATAAAAATTCAAAACAGATGAACATGAGATAAAACAGACAGACCTTGCTTGTTAACACGATGTATCTAATAATATAAATATAAAATAGGATTTATAGGGTTAGATGATGGTGAATGAAGAAAATCTTACTTGGCACCAGATGCTTGAAAAATATCGGCCCATTCATTTGGATCATAAAATTCGGCATGAAACTGCTCAGCGAAGTCGGCATATGTGAAATCTGGTGGGTAATTTTTATTCATAAACTCTACAACCTGTGGATTCGGATTGCTTCCTTTCCAGGAGTACCAAAACCTATAAAAAAATATGCGCGATCGATCACAGTTTATATAAATTGTAATTATATTGCAAGTGATGATATACTGATAAACATACCATTCAGAACCGAATGCTGGGACACTGAATGTTCCCCAGTGGATGAATATTCCAACCTTTAGAAAAATAAGAATTTAATATGATGATGCAGTTTTCTTTCAAATTCCTTACTTTTGCGTTGTCATACCACTCTGGCAATGGTCGAGTATCGAGACTATTCCAATCTGGTGTATATTTTACTGTTTTTGCAACTGTATACGAAAAGAAGTAGACAAGAATTACACACAAATGTGAACGTATATACATCTAAAAAAGTTGAATGATATAGGACCTTGTTGTTCAATGTGTCTGTGCAGGGATTGTATCGGTTCAACCCTTAAATACACATAATTAGATGAAAACTGTCTGTTTATACTGAAATAAAAAGAAAAGGTAAGAAAAAGTACGATGTACTTATTATGAAGCGGTCCGCTAAATAAACACATTCATGTCGAAAAGCACACATTGACGTAACAGTTCTTCGTCTCGATGAAAACTATGTAATACGACTATCTACTGAAACAAACATTCAAAAACATTGATGATTTCGTTTATCTGTTTACATAGATAAATTCTTACCTCTTCTATTATAAGATTCCCTGTTATATAAAATATATAGTAGAATGCATCTTTGCACTTGCCTCAGGGCGGCGAAAGTCATCTATCAATTTTAAATAACAAATTGAAGTTTTGCAGTAATTTTGAAAATCTTTTCAAAGTGAATTTTTAAGAGAATTTTTGGAAAACTAGTTGAATTCTTGAAAGATTTTCATACATGAAATAGTCATAAAAACATTTGGATTTTTTCCATCGATAAATAATTTGTTTCATCTACGGGTAATAATTTTGAAGTAAATATTAAGAGATTTATAGCAGCTTTATAATTTAAGAGATCTTATATTTAAGAGATTCTTCATTATGTATAATACAGTCAACTTTTCGAACTATAGACAGTTCATTTTCAAGACACAAAGATGTTTACAATGACTTTGAAAAGTAAAACAAATTTAAATGAGAGAGAAGGAAATAAAAGTAAATTTTATACATTTGTTCGTTCTTTCACCTATCAGAAAACGACAAATACCTACAATCAGACAAGCAAGAAGAAGATTTTCAGAACACGGAGCCCCAAAACACATTATACTGTCTTCTCAGTCTTATTTATCGGCAACAACAGCAACGGGCAATTTTCGACACTCGAAACGAAATATAGGAATAACAATTAATTACACTGAGAATACTACGCTGTCAGATGTTGCAGAGGAATAGGAAGTTCCAGATTCAAGTGTAAAAACCCGTTTGGCGTTATTAAAACATGAATTAGACACGGGGCATTCAATTGATTGGACATCTTGGAGAATTTTAGCTAAAGACAGTTCAAATTACCGTTTATTAATACGAGAATCTTTGGAAATATTAGACAAACAACCAGAACTGAATCGAACGGTATGCAGTGTGCCATTACTGATTTTTCCAGATGGTTTACAAAGGAACAAAGCCACAGTTAAATTAAAACAGTGACATTAAAGAAGACCGCGTTGGACGGGATCCAGTTGATTTAGCGCAAAATTAACCGTGCAAGTATAAGATAGAGGTATCTGTCGTTTTCTGATAGGTGAAAGAACAAACAAATGTATAAAATTTACTTTTATTTCCTTCTCTCATTTAAATTTGTTTTACTTTTCAAATTCATTGTAACATCTTTTTGTCTTTTGTCTTGAAAATGAACTGTGTATAGTTCGAAACGTTGGCTGTATTATAAATAATGAAGAATACATTTAAAGCTGCTGTGAATCTCTTAATATTTTCCATCGATTATGCTAAGCCTCGTGGCAATATTTTGTTTCATTTGAAAACTTAGTGAAAACTTATATTATAACCTACTGTCGACTGTTTTCATATAAGATTGAAAAAATTGTCACTCACTCAAAATCTGGCTGCTTTACATGATCATATAGATTAAAGTATAAAAAGAATTTATCTGTACTTCCGGAGTTTTTCAGAAAACTCTTCAAGAAGATCTACAGTGTACTTTTCGTGCATGCAGATTTATCACCGTGCAAAGCAGTTAGACTAGAGTATATTTTGAAATTGTAAAGTATTTTGAACCAATTTTCAAAAATCATAGATTAAAGTGCAAGATAGGAGCTTCATCACAGTGCATTTTTCTAACGTTTGAAAATATCTCTTCGACTCGAGTTGTTATAAACTAAGCTAGGCATCTAAATCTAAATATATCGTGGAGATGGTCGAATTGCCTTTTCGTTGTTTTTTGTCACAAATTTAAAAAGGCAAAAATGACTAGCTCAAGAACCAAAAAAGCTGCACTTTTCTCTTAAACGGAAGAGAAGCTCAAAAATGGTATAAAAGAAACGCCGATATTTCAAAAACTTGACCACATATTCGTTTTGTATCTGGGAGCTCTTTAACAACCTTACAAGACGATAGAAGTAGTGCAGATTCTGAAAGTAGACAGCTCATGCGACACATTGGTGAGTTCCATTAAAAAAGTCAATTTTCTCGGGAGTACACTCTTATACACCTTAGTTCTTTGTATTGTAAAAGTCTATGGCAGCCGATCTATTTTCATTGATTAAAATTGTCAAAGCATCATTCTCTAGTATGTTGAATAACAGCTTGAACATTATCACCCATTCGTAGATAAAATCGTGCCGAATGGTAAAACTGTCTATGGTCAGACTTTCCAAATAGTTTCCAGCGAACAGTTCTTGAACAAAATTGTAATACGGAAATTAGCTTCATCAAAGGTCTTCTGATACGCTGCTCAAGTGGGCAGCTTCGCTTCTCTATAACAGTTTTCTTTTGAGCATATTTTTACAGCACATAGAATGGCGTTGTTGAAATTTCTCCTCTCAATAAACAAACAAAGACTTGGATTCGAATTATGCAAACAAAACTCCCAGTTTCATGGAAACGATATCGTTAACAGATCGTTTTTTTACCGTATCGAGGGCGTTAACGAGTCGGTTTTTAGGTAACTGATAAATGACTTGGGGTACTGAGCTTTTTATCCGTTTAGATATATACCAGACATGGTATCTTTCTTCAAAATGAAATTCTGAATCTAAACGAATTAATTTTCGAAATGATAAAGATTTTACATTATAATGCAAAGTTACTCTGAAAATGATCATAAAAAGAAAACTTCCTGAAATTAGTTGTAATGTAAGAGAATTTAAAGTATAAGCAGAAGATAGAGCTATTCATTAGCCACAAAATGGTTAGTTAGATTCTTCTAGATATCTCAAATGATAAAAGAATAAAACCGTTTTCGGGTTAGAAAGCTGACTAGATCGGAGTTTTTCCATATTCTTTGCCTAACTTTCCACTCCTATATTTTGTAGTAAAATATTCAATACGTTTTTTTTACAGAGAATTTCGAGGCACATCCTTTGCAAAAAATTGTCCACTGTAACTATAAGGAACATTGTTACGATTAAAATACTAAGTAACACATTCTTTTTGGTCCACCAGTTATTCGACATATTAACCACGTCGCGGCCAATCTATTGTTTAATATTTCACACTGTTGCCGCCGAAAACAGAAAATTTCCGCAGACTCTAAGCTGCCGTCTCAGCATATTTTAAGTTGGCATGTTATTCAATATCGTCGAGCAAGAGGTTGACTAACATCTCTATCTATTATACTTCATAACATATTAAAACTGCATGAATGCAGATGATGGTAAAACATTTTTAAATAGCTTTCAATTGAGTATTCACATTTTATTTCAGAACATATTAAATTCATTACATATAAAATAGTAAAGTAACATTAAACCAGATCAAAATTACGAAAATATAAAAAAAAAATCGAAATAGCGGTGCGGTGCAACTGTTGAAAGCAAATATACTGTTCTTTTGTCAAATCATTTCTGAGATTCAACTTTTTCATCTTGGAAGTCTGTTTTGTGATTTAATAAACTGTAACGTAGAATAGTTTGAGAAAAGATTGATCTTTGATATTTATCATTATTTACACGACGTGCAGAGGATTTCCCTAAATTATTAATCGCTTTTCCGCTGTGTAACTGTTGGTAGCATGTTCCACCATCAAAACTTTGATTTCTACACTGAGTTTTGCCACATCTCCGATCGCTCTGAAGCTATTTTGCTCATAAAATTTCTTTCACGTCACTTAGATATAAACTTTTGAATCACAATGACATTATGATGAGAAAAGAACCTTCGACTTTTCCTTTGTCTGAAGGTTGTTTTCTTCACCATAATGTAACTGTAATTGGACCAGCAAAAATGTTTTTTGTTTTTTTAATGGTACAGTTGTAGTGTAGTACAAATTATGCAAATATTTTTTTATGGCTAAGCTAAGATTGAAAAACTAGATAATTTCATCGTTCAAAATTCAATGTAAACGTAAGTCTGAAATTATTTGTATAAATTTTTGTTTTTTTTAAGAGATACACGTATAAATGATGTTACAATATGTCAATTCACTCATTACTCTCTCTACTCGCTCTCCGAAGACAAATTAGATAGATACATTGATTAGAACGTTACAAGTTGTCCGAAAAACAGAGCATCTTAGATTAGATCACAAGATTAAAAAGTTGAAGTTCAAAAACAATCTTTCAAACTTTTAATGTACTGTAGATGTGTAACTTAATGACGAATAAGAAAAGTAGAAAGTTTAAAAATTAAAATATTTAGCAAAACAAATACAATATAACAGATTACTACTGAATGACATATTTACAAAATAACGCTGAGGTCATCGGCTGAGAATGTTCTAATACAACATTTCTTTTCAACCATTAAAAGGCATTTGCTTTCCTGAACTAACGGACGTTGAAGACCATGTTTTCTCATACATTTTAATAGTAATGTTTGATCCATAAAAATTACCTTATCAAATGAAACTGACTAATTTTTCAATACCAGCTCGTATAAAGGGTGGCCCAGAAGTCCTATCTCAATTTGAACAACAAATATTGTTCAAATTGAGACTGGACTTCTGGGCCACCTTTTATCAAGACCGAGTCAACAAATTCTTACTGTGTAATGCCTTTCTTATCACAATTTCACATAGAAAAATAAAAATAAAAATGTATAAACACACTAGCTCTATTATTCGATCAAAGATAAAAAAGAACGACATAAGACACCGATAGTTCACCAGAAAAATGATGATTGTTTGGTTTTTTTAATGAGAAACAAATACTTAAAAAAAAATATTGAGTACATAAGATCTACACATCACCGGTAAAACAGATAAGCTCCTGATTTTGAAAAATATAAAAAATTTTAAAAAAAATGATGAAACGTTATCATAAACGTCAAAATTAGATCTTAAACAAAATTTATCATTATTAAGAAAAGAAATATTGACGAGAAAATTGAATAATATAACACTCTTTTGACACAATCACCGATATAAAAAAATGTTCACCATTGAGCGCTGTGTAAAATATTTTTAGCTTAATAAGGCTGAAAATATACATAAAAATAGTGCCGTATTAAAAATGCCAGTCAAATAAATTATACTCATCAAAGATAAGAGCACTTTAAACATATAATCATAAGATAAAATGATTAAAATTTTCGGATGGTAACGGCAAAAAAAGTAGCACATGGCGTCTGTATCATGTCAAAAAATAAAAAAAGGATATTGGATGTCTACTATTTAGAAGGAAGATGAATATAGACAAAAACAAGTTTATCAAATAATGTGATGAGAAGATGACTAATCAGTGTGTATGTTAGAAGGTGAAAAAGTATAAAAAAAGAGGAACACTATATAAAAAGTTCAAAATCTTGTTGTGGCTTCGTTTTCATTAAGATAATGTGTTTGTATTAATGTATCCGTTTGTTCTTGTGATTGCTGTTGTTCTTGTGGAAGAGTAACACGATTTGATTGTAAATGAACTATATTCAATGTTGATGATATCGAAGAATGAGCAGATGTTAAAGTCTCTCTTGGTAATGATGAGGTTAACGCACTGTTCAGTATTGAACAATTAAATAAATTATCATCATTGAACGTTTCAAGATTTAAATTTGTTTTTATTTCATTTATTTGTGCAGCGTACCTTAGAAAACGATTTTTTGTCTCCTAAAAAAACACTGAATTAAAATTATTCAAATATACAAATTAGATAGTATAAGAAATTGACAATTAATTTTATTTTTTAAATGATGTAAAGATTATTTATAGTGCAAAGTTTCTGCATATAACAATATCAAAGAATATGAATGATTATTAAACATTGATTCAACGAATTCTGGCTTATCTTTTACTGTCATCTCATATATTCAATATAAAAGCGATGACTCATTTTGTCACATACACATCACAATTATAGATAATGACTTCGATGAATTTAGAAGGAAAAAAATACAGCGCAGAGTAATATAAAGCAAGAAGGAAAATTTATATAAAAGTTGATAAAGAGATGGATACATTAGAAGACCCCCTTGAGTGAGCGAAGCAGAAGACAGATTAGAAGACCCCGCTTAACAAAGATTGATTTTTTGAGAATTTTTGCAAATTTTTTGCACTTCTTTGAATATGCATCTCTGTAGCGAAAGTGCAAAAATATCAATTAATATAGTTGCTTCCATGATTCTCCCGTTCAATCAAATCATATACTCTAGTATAGATTTGATCGGAGTTGTGCCAAATCAGATTAGTCAGAGGTATCTGACGAGAAGCGTGATTCAGATTCGCTTGAACACGTTAAACTTATTGAAATTTCTTGTACCCAAGATCTTGGGTTAAGAAATGTCACAAGATTATGGAAAAAACACCAGAAAGTCAAGATCTTGGTTTCTTGAAATCTTCCACTAAACATCTTGGGAACAGAAGTTTCCAGATCTTGAGTGAATCCACTCAAACTGTTGCAAGAATTTGAGTGAAAAAGTTTCTTTATATTTTGTTTTTATTTTTGACAGTCATAACCATCAGATATACGATCATACAGAGTCATAGATTCTTCCTTAAATAGTTCAAGAAGAAAAAAAATTCGTAGTTATTCTAAGTGTGAAAATATCCGCAGTCATATTTACACAAGAGTGTAAAAACAAAACGATGATTCAAGAAGATATTGGTACAAGAAGCCAAGAGATTACAAGATGTTCAAGATCTTGCACTTCTTGAAATTCCTTGAACTCTTATATTTTCTTAATCAAGATGTTACTGAAAAATTCAAGAAGTCTAGATCTTGGTTACAAGACGTTTTACTAGGATTGTAATTAAAAATCAAAATAAACCGTCGCCTTTAAAAGATATGTGGAGAAATAAGTAAATGTATTTTTTTTCTCTTTTTGTTGTCGAACAAGAGTGAAATTAGCAGCCTTTTGTGTGTAATTTACCGTATTGTGTAAAGAAAAATACTGCGGTTTTGAACTGCGTGTTTTACTACTGAGGGCATCGAAAAATATGACTTTTCTAAGGAATACAATAGTTACCATAAAAGATAAGAATGCCTTCTAAACAATTAGGAAATAATATTGTTCCAAGAGTTTGAGAATTCAAATAAAATTTTACTCGATAATTGATTACAGTTGATCAATGAGATTAAAAATTCTGTTAAATATGATGTACTTACCGCTTCTCGTTCTATTTGTAATGCTTCCAATGTTTGTCTCAGATTTATTGCTATTGTTTCACACAAACTATTATACAGAGTTTCAAGCTAGAACGAAAGAAAATATTTCTTTTTAAAAATAAATGAAACTAATCATTGTCATGTAAATACTACATAGGCACACGACGAAAAGAGATTCATATTACGAAATAAATAAACTTTTGATAAAACAGTATCAATACTAATTCGACATCAAGCGTCAGTTTTACAGTGTACCGTTTATCGACACTCCAATGTATAGAAGTATCAATAAGAACAGCAATTCTGTTAATATAGGTTTTATATTAGTAAAAGGAGAAACAGAACGATTGGTTAGAATTAAAAAATATGCTATTCTCACACACAAATTGTTTTTTTATCAATATGCTCATAGGTGTTTCACTTAATAATTAGTATTCTGATCGATTCTCGGTTCTCTTATTTCGGATTCTTCATCAGGAATCGGAACCGCGTTTTCTTAGACGGTTCATTTTTTTCGGAACCGAGACTTTTTGACTCGCCTTTCTTTTAACAAAATGAAAACACACTATTGACAAAGCCACAAAAAGGCTGTCATCATTTAAAAGAATTTTTTCGTTTACTATAAAATGAATTTTATTTCGTTGAATTATTATTGCCTGAAAAATTATTTTTCGGTTCTACGCTGAGAACCGAAATCGTAGTTCTCTCCGTTCTGATTCTGACTCGAGAACCGAACATCTCTAATCCTCATGTTTCATTCGATATATTTTTCAATAATCATCGTTTTACTTTTCGTATTGCAGCAGCACCAGCTTCAACGTTCATTTGCAAAATTTTATTATTAAAAATGGGTCGTCGTCTGAAAACAAATGAATAAATAATGATTATAATTGAATTCATTTATTCTATAATTCTTACCCATCTTTTGCATTTGGTAATTTCTTTTTGGTATCATTCCTTGTCTGTATTCTTACTTGATCTTTTATTTTAGCAGTTTCTCTAAACAACAACAGAATAAAAAAAGAGTTCAGACATTTTTTTTTGTGTGTGTGTAGAACATCTAATTTCTGTGCTAAATGAATACAATGATTAACTAGTCCGCATGTTTTGAATACCTTTGTTCTATAAAAAAAATTAAAAACAACTGGTTCAAACTATGACGGCCCATATACATGCTTGTCACTAATCATAAAAAATGAAGTGCTTACAAGTACAAATATTTGTGCTTTATACTTTGTGAAATGGATATATTAAAAGCAAAAGAATTAATCAATATAAATAATAACTAAGCATATAGCTTCATAAGATCAAATTGAACAATAAATATCTCATTAAATTGAAAAAGTATATATTTTATTTAGAACAACATTTGAAAACAAATGAGTGCAATTATATAATTTTTCAATTAAATGAGCTAAGAAAAAGCTAAACGTGCAAAAGAATTGAAACACGCGTGTTAATGTGCATGATATATTATTAATAGTGCAGAAAACTGAGTGCATCATACATTACTCACTCACACAGGGAAAAAGCGTTGGGATATACTGTATTATATTAGGTCAAATTATTTTGCAGATATAAACATATTGATGATCGTATAATGAAGTTTGATAAACTATAAAAAGGTATAGATAGATGATAAATCGTAACATGTCGAAGAGTTCATTCATTATAATGGTTGTTTTCTCTTGTTTAACTAACATACAAAGTTAACCAAAGAGAAGCATGGCAGATGCGTGTTTCATGCATCGATTTTTTTTTTTATGGTTGCCTATAACTGCACAGAAAAGCGTAAAATAAAACTACTAATAACTTTCTGTCATGAAAAATCTTAGTAGATCCAGTTTATTTTTAATTTGTAGACAAAATTTAACTATACTTACTGTCGAAAAATTTCATCGACACGTAAAGTTAGTTTTCCATAATAATCAATGATATATCTTTCAACTTTATTATAGAACTAAAATATATTGTAAAATAACGATAATTAATTAAATCATGTATTAATTATTAAAATAAAAAAAATAAGAGCATCTTACATTTTTTGAATGAAGTACTTCTAATTCATTTAGAGAACGAAATTTTAATGAACATAAATCGAGTAATCTATTCTCGCGACTTTTAACATCCTATAAGAGTAAAAAAAATCATGAATAATACGATTAATCTTATACATTTTAAAATGAAAAAATTTTACCTCAGCGATTGCTTTTTGCATTATTAAACTTGTTTTTCGAATGTTATGAGTTTGTGAATGATGTATAATTTCAGCATCTGACATATGTCGGATAGGTTTAGTTGTTATATATTTTTCATTTTTACGTTGTTCAAGATTTAAACGCTGAAGATTTTTTCGAAATTTTTCCTCTTCTATTTCGATTTTCTACAAGTAAGATATAAAAAAATTAATTATAACAAAAAGTACATTAAACATTTTTAACATACTTTGTCAAGTGAGGCAGCTGCTTTTCGAAGTTTATCTTTGAGCTTTTCTTGTTCTTGAATATAGAATTTCATTTGTTGTACATCTTTAATGGTCAAACAATAACATAAATGTGTATTTTTTAATTGAGTATTTTTCACAAATTGATTTCTCGAACCATTTTCATCAACTGATGATGATGGTTGTCGTGTATTATTGTGTTTTATGGTGATGGTTGTCGTGTATTGTTGTGTTTTAGATGGATCATCTTGTTTATTTTCATTTAAATTGGGTTGATATTGATCAGGACTACTAATTAATTCTTTTTTTTCTAATGGATTCATTAATGAGTCAACAATATTTTCACAAGCTGCATCAACATGAACTTCGATACGACTATAAATGAATAATGTTGACGAGTGAACTGGGACATTGCTTTGATTACGTAATACAATATGACGATAACCAGAGCGTAAAGTTGACACTGGGATAAATGCTTGACCAATGAAAGTACCATCTTCTTCAGATACAGCAAAACGAAGAGAAGCCATTTCTGGTAGATTGATCTATTTATAAAAGAGATAAAACAAAATGTGTAGATGTTTTGTATGTTTATAATAATATTTTTACCTTTGAAAAATTAATTACTAGATCATTTTCATTATCATTATCATCATAAATAGCTTGAAAACCATTCCATCTTTTTGATTTTATTCGTTCTCGTCGTTTACTAGCATCTGCATAGATACCATACATTTCAACATCAACATAGACTGGTTCATGATCTTGTATTAAAAATTGTCCGGATATTAATTTAATTGAAAGTTGTTCAACAACAACATTTTCAATGCTTGTGGGTTCTTGTGGATCAAATGTACCGAAACGCAAACAATAAGGGGTCGGTTTCTGTAAATAGCCACATCGTTTATTATATTCAAACATCCCTAAATTGATTTGCATTGGTGTATCTTTAAAAAATAAAGAAATATATATATATAAATTATATTATCTTCAACAACATTAAAGATCTTTGTTATACTCAACTTCGATCATACATACACATACCTAATGTTTGATAGTTCAATGCCACCATTTGACAACCAACCGACCAAAATTGATAAGGATTATAATTGGTTGATTCTATTCTTGTACCTCTTGGATATACTCTACTCAATTGTCTCTCATTATAAATAACAAATTCCATAGCATTTTCACGTATTAAATTTTGTCCTTTATCTTCATTAAAAGACGAACATTCATAACTATAATTAAGTTGATCAGCAATTCCAAAACCTTTAAAACGAACTGGTGTCACATAATTTACTAAATCCGACATGGCTTTTGTAGCCTTTGATTCAATTACGGCATCATTATTTAAATTTACTGTTTGCGTGACAGTTGTTGGCAGTCGAGGATTTTCATTTAATATTAGTCGAGGATCAGTAAGATTGACATCTTCATAAGAAGAATTTTCAAATAACTCTTCATCTGAACTATCTGATTTTGGATCTAGAATGAGAATATGACTCTAATAAACTTTAACGTTGAATGACTATTAATAAAACTCTACTATGAGATATGATTTAGTAATTTGAATACAAGCAATCTCACTCATACCAAAATCGATTGATTGTGTATACTGTTGAATATTTGTATAATATTGTTTTTTTGGTCTCACAGGATTGTTTATACTTGGATTAAATTGTCCAGGATCAACAGACATATAAATGGATGGAGATGCTGTATATCTTTCACTACCAAAATCACAACGTTTTCGTTGTAAGTTTAGTGAGGTTGAGCCGCCTTGGGAACCTCTTTGAATGTTATCCGCTGAAAAAGATGTTGTTTTCACACCACGTAGTATTTTATTTTTAATTAATATTTTATTGATTAAATCATTTGGACTTGGTAATGGAATTTTTTCTTCGAGTGGATGAGATTTTAATGGTTGTGTAAGCATTTTATCACCAAATATTTCGATTAAGTAGTTGGCCATTTTTGTTTGAACACGTTCACTAATAATGAATAGAAAGATATTTAATCATAGTAAAAGAAAATACAAAAATAATTTTATCTTTCAATAGTTAAATGATATTCGATATATACCTGCAATGATTCTCGAACGACAATATAAGCGGATATGGTGTTACTTTGAATGCGTATTGATCAATAGCTTCGATAACATCACGAAATGATATTGAACGTATCATTGTGTTTCTATGCTTTATTTCAGGTTCTCCATCTGGTGAATCTAGTATATCTAATTCAATACATCGACAACCGGTTAACAAAACTTGACGATACATTTCTACACTTGAACGTCCATGTAGTTGGGAACCTATTGAAATAGAACATTTATTATGCATGTCGACGAAAAAAAACGGAAGATAAATGTTTACCCATTAGATAAGTATTATGAGATGATGCAATAAAATAATGTGATAATGGTTTATCCATATCTTGATAAAGATCAAGTTTTGCTGGATCGATTATTAAATTATCAAAACTCAATAGATAACGTAAAAATGCTTCATCACATATGCTTTCTGGAACTAAAAGAAAGCAAAACAAGACATATTTAAAAAGGATAAAAATTAAACAATTATACCATTTTGGCTCAAATATGTATCACGCATATATTTTTTAATAATATCCTTTGCTTTTTGATCATAATCGATAATACCATCTCCACGAGTATTCGATTGTGTTTCTATAAAATTTTTTAACTGTTCTCGATTAATTATTCGCGTTCGTTTGCTACCACTAAACAAAAACAAAGTGGATATATTCAACTATAATAAACTATCTTTTCTGTAGATAAAGTGTAACACATGCAAACAAATATATTTCAAAAGTGCATTATTTCCAGGCACAAATATTTATCATAATAATGATCAGAAAATGTATTAGAATAATAATATTTTCAAACAGGCAAACTTCGAATGCGTTTGCATCACAGTTACATGCAAAATTAGCAGTAACAATCTTACTCCATCTTTTACCAATCTTTTCGTACGATGAATCAATTTTCATTCAATTGAACGATTTAGTGCGATAATAGAAGGCATGTGCGATGGATAAAAAAATCAGAATTTATAAAAAAAAAACATCTATCAATTCGACATTAAAACTGGTTAAAAACATGCGGAAATTTATGGAAGATAAGATGTACTGGAGAGATCTATGCATCTGTAGATGTACTCTCTTTTCAAAATCTACTTACGAGTATATACAATCCTCGAGGAGATCGTCTGCTCCACTAGAATACACTATTGGAGTAGAAATCTCACTTTACTAGAATATTATCTATAACTTCTCTACTGTATTTTTTTTCCTTACTTTTTTTCTAATAATTTGTCAATTTCATTTCTCTCCATTAATTGTGTATAAAAACTGAAAAATTTATCAAATGTAAATTGTTCTGGATTAATTAAAGCATCCTAAATAAATAAAAAAAAATGAAAGAATAATTCAAAGACATTTTATTCTTTAATAACAGTTAATCATACTCTTTCATGTGCTAAGTCTGTATACTGTAAAGCTTTCAATATTCGTTGTTCTTTGTCTGTATCTCGTGAATTTTTACAAAACATACGAAGAATACTATGAATAAAAAAGAGAGAAAAAATAAAATTATACACACATATCAAAAAATAATTTAATATTACTTTCGAACTGAAATTGTTTTTCGATCTTGTCTCTCTTCCACTAGACCATTGACAATTTTTGAATGAATTTTTTCTAGTAAATCTAATCCCGATAAATTTCGAAGAAATGGATTTCGAGCATATCGAAATAATTCATCAGTCCATTCCTTAAGAAGAAAAAACAAAGATTATAATTTTGAAAGGCATAAATTTATGATCTAATCTGCTATGAAACTTTACCTTTGCTAAAGATGGAGAATAAAAACAAAAATGTATAGTACGTAAATCTTTATCAGGCACAAACGTTTGTCCATAATAAATCGTAACCCATTTATCTTCTAGTGGAACATCAGCACCAATATTCATTTGTTCACATTTTATCGCATCCTTTAGGAAAAAAAATCCGATATTCATTAGATTGTACAATTAAAAGAGACACCAACACAAAACCTTGGGTGGTGTTGCATATTTTCCAGTACGTGTATCATGGATCAATGCAATATCAAAACATTCAATTTCCTAAAGAACGTAAAATTAATCGATAATTTGTTTATGATCATTGCTACTGTTTAAAAAATAATTATTTCTACTATAAATTAAAATGTTTTACCTTTGTTACTTTGTTTAGGCAAAACAGAATATAACCTTTATAATCAACATGAAGATTAACAGCAATTGGTGTCTAAAAAACCAAATTGCATATCAAATACATTTAGTAACAACTTTAGACAGTTTTATTACCAAAGATTTTGTATTTTCTTCTGGCCATTTTAACGCAAATGTTCCAGTTATTAAATTTTTTGACACGTCATTTGGCTTCAATGACGACGTATGAATATTGTGCTTGCCGCTTGCCATTTCAAAATAAGTTTCACATCATCGAGCCTTTAAGTAAAATCTGAAACAAAAAGATTATCTGCCCCATTTCTGTCATTTGAGATGATCCCATTTAGATCATTGAACTCAGTTTTGTAGGTAGATTACGAATATGGTATTGGTTTTGAATAGAAATTCTAAAAACTTCGCTCGATTCCTGAGGGGGACCAAGGCAAGAAGTTATGACGAAAAAACGTTTTTTTAAAAAATCACATCATTCAGTTTGGCTTTGTACGTAGATTATGAATATTATATTTATTTTTAATACAAACTTTGTATGGTTGCGAAAATGATATGAATTTATATTTATTAAGAGATTAAGAATGTTTGATCATATTCATTGATCAAGCGCTTAGCGAATAATGACTGCGGC